AGATGTGGCCTCACCAGTGCTGAATAGAGGAGCATAATCACTTCCCTCGACCTACTGGCAACACCCCCATTAATGCGGTCCAGGATGCCATTAGCCTTCTCGGCAACAAGGGCACACTGTTGGCTCATAATCAGCTTCTTGTCCACTGTAAACCCTAGGTCATTTTCTGCAGAGCTGCTTCCCAGCCAGTCAGCCCCCAGCCTGTGGGATTGTTCCGCCCTAAGTGCAGGACTTTGCACTTGTCCTTGTTAAATCTCATGAGATTCCTTTTGGCCCAATCCTCCAATTTGTCTCAGTCACTTTGAATCCTAGCCCTATCCTCCAGTGTATCTACTAATCCCCCCAGCTTGGTGTCATCTGCAAGCTTGCTGAGGGCACGCTCTATGCTACCTTCCAGGTTGTTGATGAAGATACTGAACAAAACCAGCCCCAGCACCAACCCCTGGGGCACTACAGTTGATACCACCTGCCAACCAGACATCAAGCCATTGATTACTATTATCTGAGCCTGATGCTCCAGCCAGTTTTCTCTCCACCTTACAGTCCATTCACCCAGCCCATACATCCTTAGCTTGCCTGTGAGAACGTTGTGGGAGACGGTATTAAAAATACTGCTAAAATCAAGGTCCTCCACATCCACCACTCTCCCCACATCCAGAGCCAGTCACCTCATCAAAGAAGGCAATCAGGTTGGTCAGGCATACTTGCCTCTGATGAACCCATGCTGACTGTTCCTAATCACCTTTTTCTCCTCCAAGTGCTTAGAAATGGATTCCTTGATGGTCTGCTCCATGATTTTTCCAGGGACTGAGGTGAGGCTGACTGGTCTGTAATTCCCTGGATCCTCCTTTTTCCCTTTCTTAAATATGCACACTATATGTTTGCCTCTTTCCAATCATCCAGGACCTCCCTGATCACCATGAGTTTTCAAAGATGATGGCCAATGGCTCTGCAATCACATTAGCCAACTCCCTCAGCACCCACAGGTGCATCCCATCCATCCCCATGGACTTGTACATGTCCAGTTTTTCTAAGTAGTCCCTAACCTGTTCTTTCACCACTGAGGGCTGCTCACCTCCTCCCCAAACTGTGCTGCCAGATGCAGTAGTCTGGGAGCTGACCTTGCTGGTGAAGACTGAGGCAAAGAAAGCATTGAGCACTTCAGCCATTTCTGCATCCTCTCTCACAAGGTTGCCTCCCCCGTTCAGTAAGGGACCCACACTTCCCCTGATCCTCCTCTTGCTATCTACAAATTTGTAGAAACCCTTCTTGTTACCTTTCACATGCCCTGCTTGTCCTTGCATGTCCTGGACTGATCCCCTGTGCCTCATGAAGCGCTCAGTGCCAGATCCAGTGTGCATACCAGACTGGCTCTGCATGTGGCATCTGACCAAGACCCAAGGGTCAGATAATATGGCTCTATGGGTTGGATCCAGCCCATGGGCTGTGCGTTTGACACCCCTGCTTTACATGAAATAACTTGGTGAGACACACCCAGAAAAGACTTGGTAAGATAAAAATGAACCGAGAAGTTTATATGAAGTAGGGAAGGCTTAACTGGTCTTATAAAACTCAGACAGCTAAAGAGTATGGTATGGATTAAACTCCAAAAAAGCAGATAGATAACTGGTATCAAGGCTTACCCTACACCAGGGGTTTTCAACCTTTTTGGGTTGGTGTACCCCCAACAGATGGTCGACAAGTGGGGAGTCCCCCAGCCGATCACTGAGCAGGGAAAGGGGGGGGGGGGTGGAGAGTTCCCCGGCAGCTGACCACCAAGCAGGGGTTCCCAAAAACGCCAACGGTGAAACCGAAAATGCCACTGGCACATGGATGAATGGCCCCGCTTCCCTGCACCATTGCCGAGTACCCCCTGGGGGCTTCCCAGGTACCTCCAGGGTACACGTACCCCTGGTTAACAACCCCTGCCTTACACTAATCAGTTTGACCAGTAAACTCACCTTCTATCAGCAGTCTTGCATGTGTCCCCATACAACAAAGTCCCACTAATAAAGCTCTAACTAGTGGTTGATAAACCACTCCTCCAAACATCCTTAAGTCTCTGCAGGCACTACTCAAGCAGCACACTGCCTGAATGCTGAATTTCCTTTACTGGTAAAACCTATCCTGCCACAACAATTCCCCCAGTCAATGTCTTTGCTCTTATGACAGTGACCATAATTTGATCTCTGCTGCCCTGTCAGGGCCAACCCTAGTCAAAAATCTCCATATGCTCTAAATGCCTCTTACCCTTGTGCAGTGGCACAACACTGACAGTCCTTTACTTGTCATAATTTCAAGGGTACTGTCGATGTGTCAGGTATTATAACTAGTAGTTGTGTGTAAGGGTTTATTCCTGAAGTTTTAAGAATAGATTTGACTTGTCTAGGCTGGCTTAGACAGGTAGGGACAATGCTGCTTTGGGCAAGTGGGTAGACTGCATGACCTCCTGAGGTCTTTCCAGTCCACGTCTCTGATTCCATGCTGGGACATTTATACAAGCACACAGTCCTGGCTCCATATAAAACTAGAGATCCAGCTAAAACATATGTCACTTGCTGGTCCTAGAAAGAAACCCTAGATTTCCTAGGTCTATGGGGAGAAGGAACAGAGCAAGACCTGCTCCAGAATGGCAAGAATAAAGTTACCTAGTTAAATGAAGCAGACAAGATCCGAGAGTAGGAGTATGACAGGGATAAGAAATGATGCAGGGCAAAGGAACAACAGCATGCTACCAAAAGGCAAGGTCAGCCAAACGAAAAATCTGGGGCTGGTCCTTGTAACCTGTTCTTACTATGAGTAACTTAGATGAGCATAAAAACAAAGCATTCCACTGATACCTACTATTTAAAAGATAAAAAGGTCATACATATAAAGGCGCAATAGCCATTTATAGATTTAAAATTCAAAATCTATAAACTCTCACTCTAGTGATTTCATTTGTAATACTTTAACAAATCTATATATTTTTCTGCCAAGAAAAGTAATAGTGGGTCATTTTTCCTTGTTTTAATAGCCAAAATGCTGAATAAAGCACTGATTAAATCAACTTCAGAATTTGAATACAAAGTTATGACATCTTCAAATAGTAGGAAAAAATACAAAAATAAAGAGTCCAACTATGGCCCCATGGGCTTTATCAGTGTCATGGGGCCAGTCTGCAGGCTGGGTAGAGCCCATGGACCCCCTCCTGCTCTCTCCCCCAACATACCTGATCCAGTGGATGCTCCAGCTGGTCTGGGACCTGCACTGCATGCAGCACAGATCCCAAAGCAACTGGAACAGACATTGCATATGGTGCAGTTCGGCCAGAACAGCAACAGTGCTGCATGCAGTGGCCACCCCAGCAAGGCTGTACTGAATGTGGTGGCTGTCCTGGCAGCTCCAAGACTGCTGCACACAGCACCTAGCTTCAGTCAGCCTGGTGCCTACAAGCACCGTGTGCAGTGCAACTCCCAGACTGGCTGAAACAAGCACCCTTTGTGGCACGTGCACCAGAGCAGACGCTGCATGCAGTGGAGCTGCTGCTCTGGCTGGACTACACCACACAGCGTCCATTCTGGCCACTGCAGGATCTGCACCATGCCACATACCGCACAGGTCCCAGACCAGGTGAAGCAGACGCCAGATCAGGTATGCTGGTGGACAGGGACTAGCCCTACACCATGCCTTGTGCGGGTCTCATCAGGCTCAGGGGTAGCACCTGAAGCTTGCGCCATGCCCTGTGTGGATCTCATCAGACTTGGGAGCAGCACCAGGAGCGGGATCTGGTTTGTGGATCACATGGTTGACACCCCTGATCTAACTGGTAAAAATTCCACTGTCTAAGAGGAATCTGATAGCTCTTCCAATTTAATGAGGTGTTCACAAAAACCCGTAAGACTTTGCCTAATGAACAACAGCATTGTAGAAAATACATTTCGGGAGTTACATAAATTCTGACCTTCGCAACTTCTCAAAACATCACTGCATTAGAAACCAATCTTTACACTGTCATACAGTACATACAAATGCCATTTACCTAATATATCACATACTTTCCAAGCAAGAAATTAACAGTTTCAGAATACATAACGTGTTAATACTTGAAGAATGTTGCATTATACTAATGGAAAAAGAAAACAATTAAACTTCATAGAAACAAGTCAGGTAATCTAAAAAGAGACAAAACTTATGGAAAATTTCTGTATGACATCAGAATCCAAGTATGACAGCATGATATTAGGATACCCTTTGAAGTCTGAGACTGAAGGAAAAATTTAAAAGTAGGAATTGCCAGCATCAAGATAAATGGGCAAACTTTTGTTTCACGGTGTACCTTCCTGAACTCATATTTTTAAAGCAAACAAAGCCACGTGCCATATACAGTTTCATCTTCCAAGTAACAGTAAATCTGAATAACTAAGATAGAAGGAATGAGATGCAATGGTTACTCTAGAAGAGGTAAATCCCAGTGGGGAGATGCACAGAAATTGTATACAGCATACATTCTGAGATGAAGAGGTTTACACACTAAATGACTCACATTGTGCACCTCAGGACAGATGCTGCTTGAATAGAGAGAACTTTTCTCTGTGCCACTAGGAGTACAGAAAGATTAATAATATTTAAACATGGATGCTGAATTACACCTGATTATCTATGAATCAGCAACTGAAGTTACAGTTGTTTTTGGTCTGTGCTGTATAGCACAACTGCAAACTAACTTACCGTGTTTCTCATCTTCCCTACAATACAGCAAGACGCATCCTTTTTGCTAACAGAGATTTTTTAACACCAACAATAAGAAATCCTAAATCAATTTAACAACATTTTTAGCAATGGTGACACATTGATTAGAATTCATCTACAAACAGGCGCTTATTGACATCCCACACGCTGTTCGTTGATAGTTCTATCTACAAATCTCTGGGACAGCTACAACTTTGAAACATCTCAGTGAAAAGAAAGTGGTTAGCAAAGAAAAACAGCAAGCCTGGAAAGATTGCACGTCCACTTACCAGGTGGTATAGTAAAGCCTGGAGGCAACTGGATGGTGGTCTGCTGAGGCGGTCTAACGATCAGTTGCGGGGCCACTATTCTTTGAGTAGTGCCCACCGCAGGCCGGGGGGACAGCGACTGGGGGACCGCAGAGACAACAGGTACAGCAGCACCTGGCTTGGCTATGCCAACAGCGGGACCAGGTGGCCCTATAACATTCACCACGGGTTTAGATATCGCGTTAAGGGTGACCGTGGTGGATGCCATGGGGACACAGTTGGCAACCGAGCTTGGGGCTGGCTGGGTGGCAGGGCTGCCAGCAGGGGCAGCATTCGGGAGTGCGTTCACTGCTGGCGGCGGGGGGTTGTGTGCGAGGGGCTTAGTCTGTGCGGTGGAGGCGTCCGGCTTGCCGTGGCTGGCAGCCGGGCTCTGATGGTTGACAATTTGTGTTACTGCTGCCGGGGCACAAGCCGGCTTGTGGCTGGCCGCGGAGGTGCTGGAGGACGCGGCACTCCCGCTGGGCGCCGCCTGCGGTCTCTGGAGAAGTGAGGCGGAGGCGGCAGCAGCACAGTCCCCGGCGGCCTCCCCAGCCTCGGAGCGGGGCGCGCTGCCGGCCGCGGCG